TCCATGGGAAATTAATCCCCAAAACAGTTGGTTTCTGTGCACCCCTTGCCTAACTAGTGCATTAGATATCCCATTGGTAGATCTCTTCACCCAATTGAAACTTGTAYACATTTCTCCAGCCAGCTGTGTAGCCTCTCTTTTAATGCATCTGTACATCCAAGAGCATTCCTTGGTGTTCTCCTTCCAGCTCACCGCTCCCTACCACCTTAGAGTCACCTTCCACCACTAGATTTTTAAAGTTCAATGATCTGACCAACCTCAATCCTTGCAGTAATGCATGTGGTTCAGTCCTAGTGAGGTCTCCATCCCCTATGGGTCCTGAAAACATCTTGAGTATACCGTTCAACTGTCTCTAGTTCAGTCCTACAACCATCAAAATTCAACTTTATGTGCCCTCTTGTCAGTGGTATCCAGTTGAAAGTCACTCTTGGCCGAGGAAGATGATGCAATCTTGTTCCAGCACCTAAAAAAAGTTAAATGAGAAGTGCACTAATGGTGGCCTAATTTTTACTGATTTCAATTTATGACTTCGATGGAGATGCTTTCAATGACTTGCCTCTTTTGAATGATATTTGTGTCGAAATATTCTTAAGTTTCTTTCTTCCCAAATTGTTCAAAGCACTGCAGCCCTAGTACATCTCCMCAAAGTTTTTCCTCTGTCTTTTTGGTGCAGACAAAAAAGGAGGTCTTGGAAATCTCTTCCAAACACAATGGAGGATAGGGGTGCTCACGGTTCGGTTAATCAAACTGTKGGCTACTTTTTAAAATTTAACTGATACTACCGGTTTTTGCAATTCCTCGAACCAAAACCGAACTGGTACCACCAGTTAATCACAATTTCAGTTCGGGTTTTCGGTTTTTTTTGAGCACCCGTAATGGGGGAATCCACTTGCATCAAAAGAGAGAAGAAAAATCCTCAAATACCTAGCACAAAAGAACAGGAGATTAACAAATAGTAAGGGGACTCACAACTAGCTTTGAATAGAAAAGCACATATTAGGTGGAAGGCACCAATAAGGTYTCCTTTGGAGAGAGTCACAAATATTGATCTTCGCATGAAAAGTCTCCTAGTAAAAGGCCCTTTTTTAGGCCGTACCTGACCTCTCCATATAGTCTTTACTGGAAACTTCCAAAGAGACCTAGGACTCCTCAACAAATCCATGAAGAAAGCTACAAGAAAAGGAACCAAAGGGCACAAGTATAAAAAAAAA